GGGGGCGGGCAGGGGCCGAGGTTCTGCGGGAAGAGGGGCTGGGGGCGCGGGGGTAACAGGGCAGGGACCCGGCCCGAACCCTCCTCTTCCCCACAGGTCCCCATCACGCTGGGTGTCTTCCTCAACTCCTACTACGACGTGAAGTTCAACCTCCTCGGGATGGCTTTCGCCACCTTGGGCGTCCTGGTGACCTCCCTCTACCAAGTGGTGGGTGCTGGCGGGGGGTGCTGTGCGGGGTGGTCTGTGCGGGGTCCCCCGGGTCCCTCGCCCCTGGGCAGCCCCTGCCCTCCGGGAAACCCTCCGGACGCTGCTATTTGTTAAACAAAACAACACCAAGCCACCAAAACAACAACGAACAAATTGCGGTGATCCACCACAAGCCTTGGTGAATTGTTTAAGGAATTTGGGGTGTCATCTTTAACGGGGTCACGAGCATTATTTCAACGGTGGCTTTATCGGTAAAACTCTGATTTTCTAGGGAGCACAGATTTTCTCCTTGCTGAAGCAACTGTCTTGTATTTGAGCCTTTCCCTAGAAAGGACGTTTTCCAGTCCTTCAGTTCATCCCATTATTTATTCTTGAGCTATTATTCAGCATCTTCCTTTGATTTTGGACTATAAACAGTCTAAGGTGTTTCTGTAGAGGATGCATTAATATATATGCACAATATCACCTTTCTCTCTGATTATGGTTGAAAAAATAGGCACGTCCAAGGGCTGCCTAAGCCCTTTCCACTCTTAACATCGCACTTACCAGTTCATTATTGGCCATGACCATAAAAGCCTCCCAGATTGGAGTCCCCTGCCATGTTGATGCAATAGTCACCATCAGTTTAAGTGTCAGTGTCTTAGTGACAGATGTACTGTGCCTCCAAAAGCAGCAAGGCTCTTTGACCTGTAGTGTGCAAGGTGATAAATAATAGTCTCTTCTGTTCTGGGGCAGGAGGAGGGAGAGATGCTGCATGATAACTTTGTGTTGGTGTGTGTACTGGAGGAATTATAGTAACTGAGTGAAATTATTCTGTAAGTAAAGGCAAACAAACAAACGAAAAACCTTAGCAAGTTTATATACTGGAACCCATGTTACCAATTAATGTGATTTATGAAGCACTAAACTTCATTCTTCAGTCTGATAGAAAGAGCCATCTTTTTCCTTGTATCATCTATCTACATAACCATACATAGCAAACGTTGTCTTTGAAAGCATGCTACATTGAAAACCCAAGTTATAGTCAATATTGAAATGAAATCCAGTAAATTTGGAACAAACTGTCAAAGCCAAACATTTACAGGTTTTGTTAGCTTGTGTGTGGTGGATGATGAGAAGAAAAGAGCAAAAGCAGATCTTTGTTTAGGCAAAGGTGCTCTGCTCCATCACAGACAGGATCTGGAATGTATCTTGAGAATAAAAGGGAGATGGCATTTTCTTCACAGCTCTGCTACTTTTTAAATTCTTCTTCAAATATAATATTTTCTGCTCAGGCTAAGGGAAAAGGAAGGTTTAGGCACCCAGGTGTTTTTCACTGCCACTGCATATGATTTTCTCCTCACATGGGTTATGTTCTCACAAGAGAGCAACACATGGGCCTCAGCTTAGGCAAATATAGAAGATGATGCTTAAGGATCTGTTTGTTTAGTATTGTCCATGTGAGACTCCCTCTCTGTTAGTAGTCAGTTTACTTTTGCTCAAGTTTTAAATTTATGGGTTTTTTTTCCTCATGTTTAACATCTTTCTCTTTTGGTTTTAGTGGGTAGGAGCTAAGCAGCATGAGTTGCAGGTAAACTCCATGCAGTTGCTGTACTATCAGGCACCAATGTCCTCAGCAATGTTGTTGTTCATCATACCCTTCTTTGAGCCAGTCTTCGGAGAAGGGGGAATATTTGGGCCCTGGACGCTTTCTGCTGTGGTAAGGCTTTTATTTGCTTTATTGATTTAAATGTTATTGATGCAGTTAGATTTTATAGTAACATCTGTTTCATTGTGAAACAGATTTTTGTACAGTTATTGGCTATAAAGAGATAAGAGGGGCATGTGCAAGAGGGAAAAAACAAACAACCTTATTTTGTCTGCCCTGATTCCTCCTAGAGGAGTCTCTGTCAATTGATTTACCTCCTTATTCTTGTTTCTGTTTAGAGGGCATCTGAACAACAGGAAAATCTGACAAAATCCAGAAGCTTCCCCTAGTGTATTAAATTAAAAATATGTAAGTGCCCTAGTTCCAGCTCTTGCTGTCCACTCAGTAAAGAGATAAGCATGTTCACTTCTGACACTCTTAACTCCTGTTCTCTGGAAGGATGCCAGTATTTGTTGTTCTCTAGAATTGCTACTTTATTTTCACCAAGAAGGCTGTAATTGCTCTCTTTATCCTTCTGTCCAAAAAAAAGCCAGTGGCATATTCCTACCACTGCTGGTCCTGCCTCTCAGTGATGGGTTGTTTCTTGTGGCACTGCAGTGTATGGGAATGGGATAGCAAGTTTTCACTGTAATAAAGTCAGATAACATTCCAAAATAGTTTTTGTTGTGACCGTAGTCACAAAGTAGACTTTGTCTCAAAAGGTAAAGAATGCAACCTCTGTGTATATGAGTAGCCAGATTTCCCAAATCACTCTTAAATGTTCACAGAGAGTGAAGGAGAAAAGGCTTGTGGTTCTATCAGTATATGTGGACATTGTACCCTGAGCTGCTTCCCCCCCATCAGTAGTGTCTGTACCTATTTCAAGCTCTTTCTGGGTTTGTTCTCCCTATGTTTCTCTTGCCTGATACTCTGCATTTAGAAGTAAAGGAAACTAAAGAAAGAACCTGAAATGTACCTACAAGTGGCCAAAAGCGTGTCAGATTGCTGACTGTGTCCATTAATCCACAGATAATGGTACTGCTGTCTGGAGTAATAGCCTTCATGGTAAACTTGTCTATTTACTGGATCATTGGAAATACGTCACCTGTCACGTATCCTTTGTAACATTAGTTGTTCTTCCTATTTCCTGATGAATTATCTTAGCATTCTTTGGGACTGATTTACTGTGGGGAAAATTGTTTGGTGACCTGCCTGCTTTATCTGAAATTATGAAGCTGGAAAAGCACCATCATGTTTTAGTGGATTTTGTTTCTTGTTTCAGGGTCTAGATAGATAATGGCAGTTAACTTACAGACTGACCTTCATAACTACAAAAAATATTTACTCACACTTTGGCTACCTTGAGAAAGTGTTGGTGCGTCCATTGGTTTGTGGTGTACAGTGGGTGAAAGGCTTTAGGTGGAAGTTAATTCTCACAACCTGCAGAGATGCTGGGAAGTTGTGTGAGTTGAAGTCAATGTGACATACCGTTGCATGCTTTGGGTGGAATTAATGAAGTTCCTAAGTGTTTCTTTTTACAGAAAAAAATAATACATGCTATTATTCTTAACAGATATCTAGGTATAACATGTTTGGACATTTCAAGTTCTGCATCACTCTTCTAGGAGGGTGCCTCTTATTTAAGGATCCACTGTCTGTTAATCAAGGCCTTGGGATTGTGTGCACATTGTTGGGCATTTTAGCTTACACCCACTTCAAGCTTAAGGAGCAGGAAAGCAATAAGAGTAAATTGGCTCAGCGTCCATGAAGCAAGTGTTTCTGGAGATTAATAATATTGTGAAGGAAAACAAGTATTTAAATGTGCATTGATTCTAGAATGTACAAAATTGCCCTCATTCGTTTAGATCTATGGTTTTTGTTTAACCAGCAGGATCATTACTTTGTAACTAAACCAAACAAACAGACATAGCAAAATGCTGGGGTTTTGCCATCTCAGTCTCTCCTGTTCTTTTAATTAAATTTAAATGGTAACTTAAAAGAGAAAAAAGCACACTTCAAATTGCTATGGAAATTGTATGAAGTAACTATATTTTTTCCATACCAAATGAGATCATGATGGCTCCAGTTATAAAATGGCAAGAGAGGAAGAAAAGGAATCCTGTCTTTGTGATAATGCCAGTATTGCTGCTGTGAAGAAACTTGGAGGCACTTTTATGCAGATGTTCTGGTGTATAGTGATTCTTCCTCCTTTTTGTCTGGTGAATGATGAAGAGGAAACATCCTTTGTTCAGTAGTTTTAAAAAGGGCTGCCAAACTCATTCCTATTTTTTGTTTGCTTTCTTGTGTATGTTTGACTTCAACTTGAATGATGAAATGATTAATTTTGACTGAAGGAAGTAAATAAAACTAGGGGTGGAGAGAGACAAGAGGAGACATTGGAACACTTGAAGCTGCAGGCCAAGCTATAGAAAAGTAGAAAGTCATGTCTAAATGGTTCATCTTAAGTTTTTTATTTTGGTCTCACAGGACATCAGTGAAGTCATTCATGTTTTATGTTACTGCTTTATCATTTTCTCTGTGCCAAAACCAAGGCTTTACTTGAGATCTTATAAATACTCATGAGCCTAATAAAATCTCTGATTTTGTGGTAATAGCCAAATATTTTTCAGCTCCTGCGCACAGACATCCATGCTAAAAATATTATTGGAGAAGTCCTCAAAAAGGTCTTCATCTCTAATGGACAAGAGGGTTGCCTGGTTCTCTCTCCTGCCTTCAGCCCCATGTCCCTGTCTCCCACACCTTTCCCTAAGCATTACCTTCAGCCTTGTCTGTTGTCACTATTCCAGGGGGAGGCCCAGGGGCTGCCTGGGCAGTGCCAGGTAGGCAGCATTTCCTCAACAAGGCAGTTCCTGGAAACTTACCAAAGTGACTGAAGAGTGTGAGGTGGGACCTGCTTGTGCTCTAATTCAGGAACACTTTAAAAATTATTTTATGGCAGTATCAAGCACTGATTTTGACAGCATGGAAGGAGAAGTTGAATTCTGTTCTATTTAAAAAAAGAAGGAAAAAAGAACTTCTTTTGGTAAATCTGGTGAGAACATATGTTTGCAGGGTTGGAATTTATTTGCAGTATCTTAATCCTTAAATGTTGAGGTTTGTTTTATCTTCATTTACCTCTAGCAGATTTAAGGAGGGGAATTACATGAACAAAAACAGGTATTTTAAGTTTTCCAACCACCAAAAGAAATTATGCTTAGTTCCTTTAAACTTTTTTACAATAGAGTTAACAAGTCTTTGTGTAAGAAACAATGCAGATCTTCTCAAGCTTTATTTATTCTATTACATTTTTTGATTTAAGAAAAATATATTTTTCTGTGTAACCTAAGTTTACACTATAATACTCTATATCATTTCAGAGTTAAAAATACCTGAATAATTTTACATCTTTACCAACTGTGTCTTAGACATTGTACTGGTCCAAGGATAATTTTTTTATATGTTTTTATAAATCTATTGTTAGTTTAAAGACACAGCCTGGACTACTGAAACTTGTGTTCAGACAGGACATATCTGGATGCATATCCTTCAGTATGTACACTGAGAAAGCCATTTGCATTAATTTGTGCTGTGCACAAGTTCTTCTAAAATGTAGATAGACTGCAAAGACTCTTACAGTCAGAAAAGAACAACTGAACTAGAAGCCTGTATGACAACAATATTTGGGATGAGACTTATGTAGATATGAAGTGGTAGAATGAACAAAACAACCATGTCTGACAATATAAAAGAATCCTTAAGGATAGGAGCAGATATGCAAGAGAAAGTTAACAGTGTCATTAAAACCATACATTATAAATACAATCTGTTGCTGGAATGTGTAAATTGTGGAGGTCACTTAAGTGACATGATTTTTTTCATATGTTCAAGAATCCTCCTGTGAGATTTACCAGTTGTATCTAACAAATAAAGTACCTTGAACTTTATCGTGTAGTTCAAAGTATTAAATCAAGGAGGCTTGTGTAATTGTGGGATAAATAGATCTTTGTATGTATTTTTTCTTTGGATACCATGTGTAGGGTGGGAATAAATTGGTAATCACTCAACTGGTATCTCCTTATTGCAGGGGAGAAAGCTGTTCTCCTTTTTCATCTTTGCTGGGGCTGCATACACTTTCCTGGTCTAAGTGTGTATAAGACAAAATGGTGCTACTTGGATTTCTGTCTGTAGAAGTGTTTCAAGGAGTTTGCATGTTTTGGGGCTCAGCTAATGACACAAATGAGAGAGGCTGTGTGCCTCCCCTGGGCAAATGCAGGGACCCACATGTATACATGCAATCACTCACCCACTGACAGACTGGCTGTTGGCTCTCCTTCACCCCAGTCTCTTTCCCCCACATAAATGCTTCCTGAATGCTTCGGTTTCTGCACATGCTCCATTTCCTTCTCTGTCCTGCACAAAGGTCCCCAGTGCTGAGGTTCTTTGGCCTCACTTTTTCCTTATGCTAAAGCTGTGATGCTTCCCTCACCCCTCAGACCTCTTTCCCCACCCCTCAGCAGAGAAGTCCTGACGCTCCCAGTGGTACTGGGAAGGCAGCCAGGAGCAAAATAAAGTTAACTATTGGGATGACAGAGGAACTACCACCAGCCAGCTCCTGCCTTCACAGGCAGGTATCTGTCAAGTTACATGTTAGGGGGACTGAACTTTTCTTCAAGAGATGGTAAAACAACAAAGGAAAGGGGTAAGGGAAAATGCCATTTGGATGATTTTACTGTGATAACATACTTGGCCAAACTTAAATTCTGATGTAAAAGAGAGTTGTATAAAAATTACTAATACTTGGTGGAAAACTTGCTTATTCTAGTTTTTACTTTATCAGTTTAATGTCTTCCTGCTAATTATATGTGTTTCATTCTGTTTTGTTTTTCCTGAAAGAGAAATCAGAGGCTTGGCAACTTTAACAGTGTGTGGTCATCATCACTCTGTATGTGCTGTTGCAATTTGAGCCACGCTGTACAAACCCCAGTGCTTCTGCTTTTGTTTTTACTTGATATTCTACATCTGACTACACTGTGGCAACAAGATGGACCTTGGTACTTTTCTGCTATCAGGTGCTTTGCTGCTTGTATTAGCTTTCTTTACTTTAAAAAGCTACCATTAATGTAGTTCCAGTGGAAAAGTTAATTTAGATACCAGGATGCCATTTAAAAATCAGAGCAGTCACTCATATTTTAATCCAGAATCATCTGGATCTACTAACCTTGTCCCTGAAAACACTTTGCAACAACATACATGAGATGTTCTCATTTTCTCCACAGGATGTATGTCATCACTTAAGAGATGCTCAGTTTAAAACTGAGTTGCATTTAACTTGTTCAGTAACTCAGTATTTGTTTGACAGATTTTGGCATCTGGTTTTGTACGACTTGTTAAGTTCTGGCAGGCTCTAGGGCACTGTGCCAGAGGAGTTTTCCTGTGGATGGGTGAGCAGCTACTCTCACAGGCTCGAGGCTGAAGGAGAGAGGTTTGCGGCTCTTACATGTATGAAAAGGAGATTTGTCTTGCCAGCAAGTCTACCTTCCAGACAGACCTGCTATTCAGTTTTTTTATGTATCCTCTCTGTGTTTCATTTCATGAAATGAATTCCCAGTACTGGCCCAGGGCTAAATCAACATTAAAGTCTTGTTTGGGCTACCCATAGGTTTTTTTAATGTTGGGGGGGGGGTGTTTTTTGTGTTTTTGTGGGTTTTTTTTAATATTAGTGGTAGTCAATGCTGGTTAAGTACTATGGTAAAAATCTCACTTTTATAATATGTTGTATAATAGGAGCTTCAGAAAGGTGTGTTACGACATTTTGGAGTAAAGCTAAAGTCTAATCCATGTCTACTTTTGTCACATCTTCTTTAAAATCTATCAAAAGGTAATGATGGATTTCATAGCTGTCTGTATACATCTATACAGTTGGGCTGCTGAGAAGGGGATTGCTCTTGAGCAATATTGTGCCACTAAACACTGACATACTGTTAATATATTTAGCAGTGAATTAGAAAAGTCCAGCCTGAAATTAACCAGCGTGCTTAGGAAGGGAAAAAGAAGACTCAGTCTGGCTGGGCTGTTTTTTTATCTTTTTAGCAACAAACATGAGGCCTGCAGTTTCAGGGAATTTGGAAAGCACGTCTGTGTCCTTCAAATCACCTTCCATAAGATTTTTCTCCCAGTATGTCTGTTTTGCTTCCAGTTCTGCTGTTGGTGTCTTACCTGGACTTTAAAAGATGCAGAGTTTGAATTGCAGACTTGCAGGCATTTTCTTGTGTGACAGGTTTTTTCTTCTTCAAATTTTATGCCAGCTATTCAGAACCCAACTTCCCTGTTTAATAAGAAAACAAAGAAAGTTGAATAAATTAAAAGTAGATGGAATATAGTGAACATTTGTTTTGTGCAAGAATTTCACTCTTTAACTGTAAAGATGCAGGTCTTTGTTTCTCTACTGTTACAACAAGGTAGATGCACACAAGCACCAGCTTTATGCTCCATAGAAATGCACTCTTCCTGCTGGTGCTCTCTCTGCAGTCTTAGCCTTCCATTTGACAGCTGAGTTGCTGCGAAGATGATTTGGATGTCACCCACAGAAGGTTAAGAACATGAAGTGAAAAAATATCAGCAGGAGCTGATGTAGTCTTGGTAATGAGAAATCTTATTCTAAGACACAGAAGATATCCTACCAAAAGTCCTGTTCTATGCAGTGGGGAGAGCTGTGGGTTCATCTTCCAGCAAGTATTGCAGAGAATGCCAGAGCTGAATTGGAAAAATTATTTTAATGATGCAATAGTTGACAAACTTGCTTTTAATAATATAAAAATTGAATATATAAATGCCATGCAATAAATAAATAAATACATG